CTAAAACCTGAACCCTAAACCCCTATGAACCCCAGCCCTAGACCCCTGATTGAACCCTAAACCCTGAAACCCCCAAATCCCCAAATCCCCAAACCCCAAAAACCCGCTAACCCTAGGCCCTGAAGCCCTATAACCCTCAAACCCCCCAAAACCCCAAACCCTATGTCTCCCAACAAGAGCCTGGAGCCTCCGCATGCGCGGAGTGGCGCATCTGCGGATTTTTCTCAAAGCGTGTATATGAGCCATTGTCTAAACTCCTAGTATCCCCCTTAATAACCCCTATAGTAGTCCCCTATATAATCCCTATATAACCCCCTTTAAGGAGTTTAGACTACAGCTCATGTAAGTTCAGGGGTTTAGGGCTTAGGGCTTGGGGATGATAAGGTGCAGGGCTTAAGTGTGTGGGGTCTCAAGCCTGAACCCTAAAATTTAAATCTAGGCTGTAAGGGCTTAGGGTTCTAGGGTCCGGTAGATTTGGGTTTGGGGGTCCATTAGACGTTGAAGTTTAAGGGCGCGAGGATCAGAGTCCGGGGCTCTTGTGTTGCAAAATGCAGGCTTCAGGGTTTAGGGATTAATTAAGGGCTTAGGGTGCAGGAGTTTGAAAGTGGAGGCTGCAAAAAGGGATTGGTGTCAGGGCCAATACCCTTTTGAGGTCTACTTGAGGTATACCTTGTATACTATATCTACATATACATATATGATTACATGGCATCTCTAGAAGCACATTGAAACCTCTAGAATACGGCCCACCTAAATCCACAAAGTAGGTAAAAAGAAGGCCCAGAACCGCTAAAACGGCTAAAAGTCTCTTTATCTTGCATACGTTGTTGTGGTTTTGCCTAGAAGCCTTAGTGGTCAGAGTCACAGCCGTCGGTTTTCGGACCTCCTGTCCAACACAGTTTTTGGTTTTGCGGCGTTACGGTTTGGGGTCTGGGCGCTAGGGGTGGGTTTGGGTTTAGAGTTGGGGGGTTTAGGGTGGTCGAAAGCTTGGGATGCACTGTGTGGTAGGTTGTCAGAACATTGTAGTTCATTGTAATTCTGTTCAAGAGTATTACCCTAAATATGAGGGGCCACAGTATGGTGGGCACTTTAAACACGGACCGTAACTTTCACAACCTCCCATGTAATGGAATGTGGGGTTTAGGATCCGGGGAGTGAAGTTTAGAGTTCACGGACACTCCAACTATACTCATTCCCTAAGGGTCCAGGACCCAGATAACAGGGTTTTAGGATCCAAATACTACAATATGAATTGTACTTGGGCCCTAAAGCCCTATTATTTGGGTCCTTGGACCCTTAGGATTTAGAAGGTAGTCAACAAGTAAATGTAAACGATACTGACTGATACTCAACAAAACTAAGCATAAGGGGTGACCCAAGAATTGAGAGGTAGGATGTGCGGCAAATAATGAGGCAATAATAGGGAAATGCAACCCAACTACCACAGCAACCTCGACGCAAATGCAGGACGCGGGGAAGTCTACAGGTCCTGAGGCCCCAAGCCCTAAACCCTAAGGCCTAAACCCTAAACCCCTTATATAATTATCTAAGCCCTAAACCCCAAACCCAAACCCTAAATCCTGAATGAGCCCTAAACCCAAAACCTACATCCTGCACTCGGCCCCAGATCCCCCCAAACGGCGGAGCCTGTGCTACGCTTCTTCCCACGCGAGGCGCGATATGAAGCGAGTTGTCCGTACACCCGCCCCGAAAAACGCTGCGGGTGAGATGAGCACAGCTTGCACTCTGTGTTTAGGTTTAGGGTTTACCTAAACCCCCAAAGTAGGTAAAATACTGGCCCAAAACCCCTAAATATAGCGCAAAGGGCCATCCAGGTAGGGTTTTAGAATTTAGGGCTTTCGCAAAATCATGGATCCATCAGGGCCTCCGATGCAATGTCTCTGATAGGTATCTAGGGCGCTTCTAGCTTTGGCCAAAATTCCAGTGTCTCACGAAGCAGTAAAACATGGATGGCTTGAGTTTCGGTAGTTCAGGAAGATGACGGGGATCCAGCCATGGAGACGTTTACTTCCAGGTTTCTAGTCGTTTCTAGTAGGGAATGAGGGTATATTGTACGTCGGATTTACATTGGGATTATATGGGCGGTTGTCAAAATTATGATCCCTTTTTGGGTACCCTAAATATTAGGTGCCGTATTATAATAAGGATCCAAAAGGGATCAGAATTTTGACAACCACCTATAGTAGTTTCCCACAAGAGGGAACCCCAATATAGACCCCAAAATACTCTTCTCCTTCTATGGCCACCTGGCAAGCCTTCAAGGACAAGACCCAGTGCCTTAACCCCTAGCCCCAACTCACACCAAGCACGAAACCCTACAACAAAATACGGTGGAAACGTACATAATCTGAAAGAGCAGAGCCCCAATTCTACCCCAGAATCCTTGGATCGTCAAAGCCGGCGACCTTCGGAACCTTTCACCGAAGCAACTGGCAATGCCCAGCTCCTACAACAACCTAGCCGCCTGCTTAAAAGAATGAAAGAATAGGGTCCAAGTACCCAATACTCATATACTTACCCAAAACCTGTACAACAATTACTACCCCAGGTACCCTTTCATTGGGTATGTGGACCCTTTGGGAATGTTAGAGAGATGGGGGGAGGCTCTTGTTCAAGTGCGCGGGATGATTCAGCTCGGTTCCTGTTTTTGGTCCCTGCTGTCGGCGGCTTTTCCTGCTGCTCTCTGCTTCCTTAGCTGCTGCATCCAAATAAGGTGGAGCAAACACACGTAAGCTATAGTATCCTAGTATCTCCCTTGATATTCCTTGTAATACTCCCCGATGTAATCCCCCGTAATTATAACCCCCATGTAAGGAGTTTAGACTAAAACTCATATGCGGGTGACACCAGAGAGTACTTCTGCGGACCCTTCCCTAAACCGTATATCCTGAAACCGTGGACCCTTTTTGGGATTATAGGGCTTAGAGATTAAGGTTTCGGGATTCAGGTTTACGGGTTCGGGATTGGGGTGTAAGGTGTAAGTTTGAAGATTAGGGATTACTCTCTCTCTCTCTCTGCCCTGGAGTCCCCTTAATATGTTGTCATGAAGGAAGTCCATGGCATATATACAGGCCTGAATTAAGTACACAAGGACTGGCCTTCTTCGCTTATTAGAATGCCTGACGGATAGTAGTAGTACAGGGCAAAAAGGCATTGAAGTTGGTGCTAAGGGCTTAGGGTTTAGGGTTTGGGGTCCAAACCTCCACTCTAGATGACCCTAAACCTTAACTTAAGTGACTGTGAGGCGAACTTTTCCATGGTTTGAGCGAGACCCAGAACAGCTGACAAGTGCCATATCTTTCGAAGGGAAGTCAGATGGAAAATGCAGTGGCAACCAAGTTTATATAGGTAGGTATATAGGGGAATGCAGAAGAAGCCCTAAACCCTAAACCCGAAAACCTAAGCCTAACTCGTTGATAGTACTCTGTTGGGGAATTTGGATGTTCCGTGTTTCAACCCCTCAGGCTCTAAAACGTCGAACATAGGTAATATCACTCGGTTTAGGTCAGGGCTCGGGGATATTTCGAGACTTTGGGGCCCAAGGTTTAGGGTTTAGGGTTCGAATTCCAGGAGTCCTCAGAGAAGACTCAAGGGGCTCGGGGTCTGGATTTTAGGGTTTAGGGTTTTTTGAATCACCCTAAACCCTAAACTAGGCATCATCTGTACAGTTTGGGCCCATATGAACTTGGTATCATCTGTACAGTTTGGGCCTAAAGTAGGTGTTATTTATAGGCCTTGAACCCAACAGTTTGCCTAAGCCCTATCAACCACATGGGCTTAGAGATTGGCAGCGTCGAGTAATCGCTACGTTCCATGAACCTTCAATAACTGGGTTGCTGTTCAGGAACTTAATTTAAGTTACCTTTATGGGTATATATAGTAAATAATTAGGGTTTTCCCAATATAGTAACTTCATTTAAGTTCCTTAACAGCAACACAGATTATTTCACGAAGGCTCTCCCCCCTTTGCAGCGTCCAGCACCTCGAGTCGGCCTGTTTGTCCTTTCTGCAACGGTATAAAGATTCGATCGAGGTTATATACGGGATAGGGCTCAACAAATATAGGGGCCAATGCGCATTAGCCACTTAAAAAATGTTGTGGTTCTAGATTCCTTGTATGATTATGGTATAGGTATAGGGTACCGCAGATAGATTAAGTAGAAGTTAACATGATGTTGGTAATCATTCAGGCCCCAACAGTATGTAGGATAATGGCCTCGGCTCAATTCTTATGGCTTTTGAGCCATCATCTTTACCTACTCGTGGGGGGGTTAAGGTGTAGGGTTTATGTACTTTTCTAGACTTTGGAGCCACATAGGAATTATGTATAAACTTAGAGCCCCAGGGAAAAGTATCGTGCGAACCTGCCAAAGGCAAAAGCTCAACACATGCAGACCCGACTTCATATCCTATCAAAAGACCGAACCCATGAAGCACAAGCCAAAAAAACACAAACCCACAACACTGGAAGCTAAAGCGCGCAAACCGTATACCCTCAACTTGTCAAGTTGAACGGTAAAATAGACCCATGATTAATAACACCCCCTCTTTTAAGGGCCTTAAATATTAGGATCCCTATTATAATCCCCATCAGGGGAGGGGGGGTTATTAATCAGGGGTCTCCATTATGGACAAATTTGTGGAGCTTCCACCCTTAGGTAATCTCCTATTCAGAATGGGAACCTCTAAGAAAATCCCTACCTAGATCTCAGAAGTAAATCCATGGGCAAAAAAAGATAGGTTCAGGGTTTAGGGTTTAAAGAACCCGGAAAGCTTTGATTCTACATCTTTTGGGGTTCAGGTTGTTGGCCTACGTAGAACTGGAATGAACCATCTGAGGCCGTATATCGTCATGAGCTCAGCTACTGACTCCCACAAACCTTCTGAAAAATCCCCAAGCCCTAAAACCTATACCTCATGAACCCTAAACCGTATGAACCCTGAACCCCCTTTTGGCCCCATTAAACGGCCCAAGACTCCCCAAAAAGAGCGGGAAGGCCCCCTCCAAGGAAGCGCTCCGCGTAGCCAGACCAGTCGAAAGCCTACATGCTAGTAAGTGGTTTAGGGTTTAGGGTTACAATAAGCTTCATGAGATTCTGGTTTGGGGATTGCTGCTAAGGGCTTAAGGTATGGGGCTGAGAAGGGTTTAGGGTTTGACACTACAACATGAAACTAAGAGCCCTGGGGCCCGGCAACCGTGAAATCTAAACCTTCCAGACCCGGATCCATGAAGAGCACACCCTTGACACCACCACCCTAACCCTAAACCTTAAAACCCTAGAGCCTAAAACCCAAAGCCTGCCATGAACTCCTCAAACCCCAAATCCAGTGCCCTGAGTTTAGGGTTTTAGGGTTTACTGTAGGGTTTTAAGGTTTAGGGTTTTCGAGTTTAGGGTTTTAGGGTTACTGTAGTGTTTAATGGTTTAGGGTTGAATCTCAATCAGCCCACAGTTGCCTCTTAGGGGACTGTTCTATGTAACAATCCAGAGTTTAGACTATAACCCCTATAACCCCCTACATAACCCTATATATAGCAGTTTCCATTTCATTTTCCATTTTCCTTTCCATTTGATTCTCCATTATTAAGTGGGATACTAGGAGTTTAGACTACCCTAAACCCTAAACCCCAAACCCTAAACCCTAAACCCTGGCTTCTATGGAACAATCCAGACACAAGCATGCGGGCCTGGTCCTGCAAAGGCTCCTGCGCGTCAGGTGTAGAAATTTAGGGTTCATAGGGTTCATAGGGTTCATAGGGTTTAGGGTTTAGGGTTCATAGGGTTTAGGGTTCAGGGTTCAGGGTTCATAGGGTTTAGGGTTTAGGGTGTAGAATTTAGGGTTCATAGGCTCTCTACATGAGCCATTCAAGGCGGGTTATATAGGGGATTATATGAGGGACTACTACAGGGGTTGTTAAGGTTGATACTAGGAGTTTAGCCTTTAGCTCTACATGTTTATCACCATCCACTGGGGATGATGCGGCAGGAAAACCGGGAGGATCATAGATTCGGGCATCTCTCACTAACGTGGGCCCATGACTTCAAGAACGCGCCAGAATTCCAACCTAAGATAGCCACGAATCTGTACCCCAACAGACTACAAGTCCCCCAAACCCTAAATCGCGCGCGACAGATCTCTTACCCAAACCTGAGGCCAACAACAGCCCTACTTGGAGGGTCAGGGGGACTTCGTATGCAGGTGCTACTAAGGGGGACAACTGGGGATATTATTTGGATTTTACGGTGTATAACCTTGAATCCCAAGCTACACCCTAAAGCCTGCTCACTTCACCATATCTCTAACAGTTGAATCTTAAAGCCTCAGCCAGTCCTTGCAAGTAAACCAATAGAAGAGGCTCTTCCGCGTGCCCCACTGGACAGGCTCCACCTGGTTTCAGGTGTAGAGTTTAAGTTACCATAATATGGGTGACGGAATGTAGGTTTAGGGTTTGAGGGTGGCTCCTTATTTGGATGCTACTATCATGAGTAGGATATGGACTAATCTCACAGGAAAAGCCTGTTGCTCAGGAGTTGCGTGCCTTTTTTCGTGCGGGCTTGCTCCAAAATGCGGATTAGGGTGTAGGGTTGGTGTCTTAAGGTATGTAAGTGCATCTCAAAACAGTAAGAACAACGCTGTTTGTAACAAACATATGGGTGGTTCCAAAATTTGAGGTCCCATCTTGGTACCCCTAAATATTACTGTAGGCGCCGTCATATAATCTATAACCAAAAGATCTATAACCAGCGGCGGCTCCTCAACTTCAAGCACGATGCCACCTAAGAACGGCCGGAATAAGAATGAACCCCCCCCCGCCCGCCCCACACCACCCGCCTAGTCACAAACATCACATGAGTAGGTTTTTTTGGTGGTTGAACCTAGTAAGATAATATTCCTTATATAATATACTATACCGCAAAAGGAGGATATAGTCTTACTCTAAAATCGGTACCATAGTATCCCCAAATAAAATACTACTCACATGAAATATCCTTTTCCATTAAGGCGAACATTGCTGCGGGATCCTGCTGCCTAAATGCTAACCCTAAACCCCGAACTGAGGGCACAGAACTGAGACCCTAATTTTGTCCTAATCCCCTAATGCCCACACCTCCAAACGTAATCCTGGAACCTGAAGAACCAAGCCATTGAGCCCCAAACTCTGAACATTCTACACCCTAAATGTGGAGTGCCAAGACCTACATCCTAGACCTTGCCTCAAACTTTAGGCACCATATCGGATCCAGATAGCCGACAATAGGTGTCATTTATTCGGGCTTAGAATTCGGGCTTAAGGCTTTCAAGACCCTAAACCCCTAAAACCTAAACCCCTAAACCCTAAACCCCTAAACCCTAAACCCACAGTCGGCATTATCTATAGACTCGAGTCTCCAGCGTCAGCATCCAACCTTCCTACGCTCGAATGCTACACGCTCAAAACTCTAAACGCTGAACCCTATAGGATTAGGGTTTAGGGTTTAGGGATTGAGGCTCAGGGTTTAGGGTTTAGGGTTTAAAGAGGGTTATGTAGGGGACTGCTATAAGGGTTATTAAGAGGGATACTAGGAATTTAGACTATAGGACAATGCCAAAAGTGTAGACCCCAGACTTCCTGTACACCCCTTGCGCGTAACGCCCCTAACCCCCTAGACCCTAAACCCCTAAACCCTAAACCCCTAAACTCTAAACAGCCGAATCCTCGCCTATAAGATCCTATAAAGTATCCACCGCCAAACCCTAAACCCGGACCCTGAGCTTCTTATGTACGCGGTTTAGGGTTTAGGGTTTTCAACCCTGTAAGCTTAAACCACAAACCCCGAACCCTAAAATGCAATAGTCTGACTCCAAACCCAGAGCCCTAGACCTTACCCTAAACCGTTAAAGTTAACCCTAGACCTTAAACCTTAAACACCCTCAACTCCTAAAACCCAAACCCCATAAACTCTAAACTCCATAAACCCTAAGTCCCTAAACCCTATAAACCCTAAGTCCCTAAATCCCCAACTCTAACCCAAAGGGTCCATGTAGCTATATGGTATATACTTGGGCTTTAAAGTAGGTATATGGGAACCCCTTTGGGCCCTAAGTATATACCAGATACCTACATGGACCCTTTG